GACATTTTTAACCACGACCACGACAAAATTTATCAAGACATGACTCATCCGTTGACACATTACTACGTAGCCTCATCCCATAACACCTATCTTCTGCAAGACCAACTTCGCGGCCCTTCCAGCGTGGACGCCTACATCAATGCACTGAGGAAGGGATGCCGTTGTGTTGAGCTTGACTGCTGGGATGGTGATAATGGTGAGCCCATTGTATACCACGGACACACACTCACATCGAAAATCCTTTTCAAAGATGTCATACAAGGAATCAGTAAACACGCTTTTGAAGTTTCGGAGTAAGTTGTCATTTTGTATGTGTGTATTTTTAGAAACTTTGAGCCTGTGGAAGAACTCTTAGAGCGGCCAAAGTCGGGCATTTATAATTCTTTTCTTTATTCATCTAAATTATAATAAAATTATTTAACAATCAATGAATGAGGCTGAGTATCTAATGAAGAATTATGGAGATCGAGGAGGGTGTTATCCGTCGAGGCCGTAGGCCAAGGCGGATAACACCCAGCTCCGTAAATATTCTCCAAATTGCAGATGTCGCCCTCCGAGTTGTCTTCTTGCTGTTTTTGCTATGTTTTTAGCCATTATTTCGCCTAGTTCCAGCTGTAGTTATTACTCTTGAAACGAGTGAAGTGTCCGCCATTTTAGTTTTTACAGCGAAAACAACTCAATCTCGTCCCCAGGTCTTCTCGGTTAACGATGCGTTAACCTGTAGAAGGCTGCATTTTTGACGTCACTTCCTCATTAATCACAAAATTCTTCCAAATTTGGTCATCAGTAACTGGTTATGGTGAATTATGCGTGTGCTTTTAGCCAATCAGAATTGGGTAAATATTTTGAATGAATAATAATATTAATTATTATTAAGTCTCAAGCTATGTTCACTCTAAAATGTGATAGCCTTTTTTCATTTTCGAAAACCGTATCGGAGAGGTATTTTGCTCACCAATGAATTTCTTCTTCTTCTTCAATTACTTGGCTCCATCTATAAAGATGATTCTTCATTCATTTCGTCCTTACGCATGCTTCTAGCGGAAGACCTGGTAACACCGCTGCGCACTGAACCTTTACCTCTACTTTCCGTACTGCAATAAGCGAGGTCACAATAGTGTGTGCAACCCTGGGGCCGTTTTGTAACGTGCCTGTTCACATTTTATCAGATCGATTTCTACGCCGCCAAAAAAACTGTTCCGGCCTCGGTGTTTGGTTATTTTATCGCCTGTCCGGGTATCCAGTAAAGAACTTCTTCTCGTTTTTGATATACTACTTTTCGGTGTTTAGGTATAAGATAAAATACTCCTTCTCGAGTTTGATAGGTTACTTACTTACCTGGACAACTGATGCAACAGTCGATCCTTCCCGTGTTTGATATGTTATTTATTTGCCTGGAAAACTTATGAAACACTTCTTCAGTTCTCGTGTCTGATATGTTATTTCTCGGTGCCTGGATATCTGATGAAACACTCCTTCTTGTTCTTGATATATTAAATATCGGTGCCTAGATACCTGATGATACACTCCTTCTCGTATCTGATATGATATTTCTTGGTGCATAGACATGTGATAAAACACTCCCTCTCGGGTTTGATATGTTAGTTATCGGTGTCTGGGTATCAGATGAAATACTCCTTCTCTTGTTTGATAAGTTACTTATTGGTGCCTGCATACCTGATGAAACACTCCATCAAGTGAAGAGCAATTGTAACACTCAGATTTTCACTGCTTTGTAGGTATCCAGTTATTCTTTCCCTGGAGAACCACTGCAGCCTCCCAAATCAAAAGAAAATGGCAGAATATCTCGAAGCAATTTTGGGCGGTATCCTTTGTCGACTTCCAATATGTTGTACGCTTAATCATTGCATTCTTATAGATTTTTAAGTAAGTAAATCATTAATAAAAAGAGAATAGAAATAATCTGGATAATCTAAAAGAGGTGTTGGGCGAGTGTATAGTAAACAGGTGGAGAACGAGTCTATACCAGTAGCACAGTAAGCACCCTCGAAAGATTGAATATATAAAATATTAACTATGAGGTCAATATTCTAGGGAATAATTATAACTTAGCCCCAGGACCCCACGCCGTTTCGTAGGCTGGGTGTTGACTGAATTCTTCTGGTAATCTGATCATTTTTCTCGCTGAGTCAGTCGATTGCTGTTTTCACACCCTCCCTCCCGCCCTGGGGGCTTCCCTTGAGTCCTCAGGGTCTCAGTTCCTTCATTAAAGACGCCCAAGCAGATTCACTGGCTTGTTGTTTGCTGAGGTGCGCGGGGAAAACGAGGGATAATTAATCAGATAAATAGAAGTTATATGTCGAATGAATGTGTAAACGAAAAGTTTGATTGATTATAAAGAAGGCAGGATGTTGTTCCTTGATTCAGATATCGCCTAGATATGTTGTACAAAGTGCCTGTAGATGCCCAGTTTGATTCTTTCCCATCTCCAGAATTCTTCAAGAACAGGATTCTTATTAAGGTACTGCATTGCATTTTCTCTTGATTCCAAACCAAACACTCGTACACGTACGTCTTTGTCTTTTGACTCTGGTTTGTGTTGTTAACAATTGACATTTTTCTTTTTAGTTTCGTCAAATGAAGATAGCGCAGGGCCTTTACAGTTGTCTCCGTGGCAACAAGTTGAACTCAGTCACAGCCCACCAGGGTAGTTTTCCTGACAGGCGCTCGGGTGGATGTCACGCATCGCTCCCCGTGCCTACGCGGCTGCTTTAAACCACAATCCACTTTCCATTGTTTAAGACGTTTTTATTTGGACCAATGAACGCCTTGTTATTGGATACGATGTACCAATAACAGTAAAGTTTTGCGTCTCGATGCCTTTTGCATCAATATGTTCTTTTTGTTTATTTGGCTTTCGCGGGGAAAACCCTGACTCCTCCTTTAACCGGCGAGGGAAAGGAAATCGTAACGTGACGTTGACCGAAGCTGTGGCTGTGCCACAATGGTGGAATTAATCACCCACGATTGACTCGACCTGATAGTTGTTCTCGGCGTATCTTGCCTTGATTTCTAATGTAGGGTTTTATCACACAGGGCAAGAAATTAAAACTTGAACACGAGACTGATGACGAAGACGTCGGTGATGTAACGGATGAGGACGAGGCTGCTGATATCGATCAGGAGGCTGCAGCCGCTGTACTGCAGGAAAAGAGTGCTGAGGGCGGAGATGGACCCTCCACTACTACGTCAACTACCACTGATACCCCGCCAGTGAAAAAGAAAGAGAAGAAGCCCAAGAAGGTAATAGTAGAGCAAGTGTAGGGCTTGACATTAAGTATATTTCTTAGTTATAATCTCACCGATTTCCCAACTGGATAGGGAATCGCAAAGCTGGCTTAAAGTTTCGATTACTCCAAGCTACCGTGTCAGCCTCCCTAACTACCAAATGATGTGCGTCATGATCATGAATATGATCAGAATTCAAGCATTGACTTCTTTCCTCAGTAACTTGCTTTTTGCACGCAAGGGTAATATTCACCTCAGGGATTAACTCATAGACCAATCGCGCGTAAGCATAGAGCTAATCAAATTCCTCGCGTTCTAAGTCTTTATTACGCAAGCATTATTCTTTAATTTGCTCTGATGAAAAGCTACTTCTCGAAACTTCAGCTTTTAAATCATTTCATGGTGGAAGATTGACTTTCTCAATTCATTTAATGAATAAAGGCGAAAAGGTTGCACAGGAATGTTAACATAAACAGAGTTATTGAACGGAACATAAATTATTTTACTTTGCCCGTAACTGAGTTTGTAAATTATAACACTGACATTTGACTCTTTTTCAATACTGACCCTTAAAACCAAGTACTTCAGACTAACACTTGTTTGCATATATAATTATTATTGTTCATTCAAAATATTTCTCCGTTTGTGATTGGCTAAAATCACACGCATAATCCATCATAACCAGCTACTGTCGACCAAATTTGGAAGACTTTTGCCACATGTGAAAAATGACGTCAATTGTGCAGCATAATTGCCAGAAAACTGAACAGTTACCCGAGAAGACCTGGGGACGAGGTTGAGTTGTTTTGGTAGTAAGTACACAAGGCGGAACATTTCGCTCATTTCACGAGGAAGAAATAGACGAACTATTGGCTAAAAACATATCAAGTACAGCAAGAAGACAACTCGACGGGCAACATCCGCTATTTGGAGAATATTTGCAGGACTAAACGACCCTTTATCTCCTAAACTTGCCAATAAACAGGCAATTGAAGATTAGCTTAACATCGATACAGGCTAGAACTAGGAATTGTTTTGAATGAATAATAAAACGATTATTGAATTCGGCTCTCGTAACATCTAAAGAATTATGGAGATCTCGAAGGGTGTTATCCGCCTCGCCCACCTTGATCTTCATAATTCTTCAGATGATACTCAGCCTTATCCAATAATGGTTAAATATCTTTATATTAAAACTCTAAACCTTGTTAATGGGCATGACTCCTTTTTACTTCTAAACTTTAATATAAGCTGCTTTAAACTTTCCGATAACAATGGATCTAGCTAAGGGGCTTTTGGGGTCTACCTCACTCCCCCAGCCCATCCTTTAAGCACCCCTCGTATCTTAAGGTATGAATGAGCGAGTCCCAAACATACCTGAAGATCTGAATCCGCCATTGCATAAACTCGACGAGCTTCTTTTTGCTATTGAGTGTTTTACTTTTTGCCATTTTAGTCCATTTTATTGTTGCATGTATTTATTAGGAAACTCTGCGCCGATCTTTTCGTGCCGTTGGTAAAGTGGTGCGTACCGCCGGTAGATTAAGAGATGAAACAGATGTAAGTCAACATAAATTTTTTAAACATTTGTAAATTTATTTAAAAAAGAATANATAATTCTTCAGATGATACTCAGCCTTATCCAATAATGGTTAAATATCTTTATATTAAAACTCTAAACCTTGTTAATGGGCATGACTCCTTTTTACTTCTAAACTTTAATATAAGCTGCTTTAAACTTTCCGATAACAATGGATCTAGCTAAGGGGCTTTTGGGGTCTACCTCACTCCCCCAGCCCATCCTTTAAGCACCCCTCGTATCTTAAGGTATGAATGAGCGAGTCCCAAACATACCTGAAGATCTGAATCCGCCATTGCATAAACTCGACGAGCTTCTTTTTGCTATTGAGTGTTTTACTTTTTGCCATTTTAGTCCATTTTATTGTTGCATGTATTTATTAGGAAACTCTGCGCCGATCTTTTCGTGCCGTTGGTAAAGTGGTGCGTACCGCCGGTAGATTAAGAGATGAAACAGATGTAAGTCAACATAAATTTTTTAAACATTTGTAAATTTATTTAAAAAAGAATACTAAATTTTAAAATCATTTGTTCCACATCTAAACTTATAAAATGTAAATGTTTGCGTTCAACTAGGATTAACGCCTAAAGACACTTAAACTGCATTAAACTGCATGTTAAGATACACGCGTACGAGAGTTTATTGTTAGCCGATTGAGTGCTAATACATGGGTTAACATAATACATAAACTAAGGAAATTCTAAAAGCGGAACTTCCGCTCAAGACTAACCTTCTTTTTGAAACAATAATATTTAAATCAATAGGAGAAAAATAGAATTGTCCTTAACATTAATCTTTTTTGTACTTTAAGATTTTGTGCAAGCGAAAACAGACTGTCTACTTCAAATTATAAACACAATAATATGCTTAAATTATAATATCATGACCACCAAAGTTAATCAATTCGAAGTTGAAATTGCGTTGAAAAAAAATGTGGAATTTGAGGGAAAAACAAACTGGTGGAGAGATGTAAAATTACAAATTTTCTCAATTAATAGACCGTGAGCTGCTTTGTACAATTCAGGAGACAGTCGCCACCACCCAAATGATCAAAACGAGTGACCGATAAATAGGCTTATTTTAAAAGCAAACGTTTCTTAGGTCTGAGAAAAATCAAATCAAATGAAATAAACACTGTGGTAAAAAAAAACGTCAGAAGAAGGTTGTTTTAAAAATCTCGTGACACCAAATCAAAAATAAATGACAGAATGGGCAGATAAAGGGAAGTTGCGCGCCTTATGTTTAAACTCAAGGCCACGCTAGCCAAGTCCTAAGCCAACATTAACACTTACTTCTCACTTAGGGCAAAATGTTGGCTTAGGGGAGGGGTAGGTGGGCAGTTTCCCAGAAACGTTTAATGATCCGTTATAAGTTAGTAAAAAGCAATTAATATACTTCCAAACTTTTAAGAGATTTTATTTTAAAAGTTTGGAAGTATATTAATTGCTTTTTACTTTCTAATATTTGGTCACACTTGGAGCAGGGTTAGACAGGTAATACAATGTAAAGAAAATACATTATCAAATCAAAGACTCTAGTAATGAACAGTAAAAATTGATAATATTAACTTTTCAAGGGTGACACTTACAATTACTAATGACCTAGTGGCTAACATCGTGGCCCACACGTGAATAGAAGAAACACAAATAGTCCAAATTGAGTATAACAATTGCAAGAATCGCAGCTGGCGGCAGGCAAACCAGTCGGTTGTTTTCAGCTTTACTTACTCACTAAGGAAGGCTGTTCCACAAGACTGAGGCTGCTACCATTAACGATCGATCCCCCATAATCTTTTTCGTTTTGAATCGCGGATGTTCACGCAATATACCATTATTGTTTCGACGCAATTGGTAATGTGGAGCAGGCAAGATTGAAACTAAATTTTTATTCTAAATTATCATACTCTCTAATAATTAACAATTATTCTTTGAAATCGAGGTGAATAGTGGCAAAATATTTACCGAGCCACGAAGTGGCGAGGTAAACATTCCTAAAGCCACTATTCACCGAGATTAAAAAGAATAATTGTTTTAGTATATACACACGAAGTGATCTCAACAAAATCAGAGAGGAAACCATTCAAGAGTACGATTTGATTGACAGATCGGGTCAGCTAGACACGCGACAGTTTAAAAATAGGTCTTTGTAGAATTTTCAAACATGACAATTCACAAGCTTATCACTTCGCAGACAACAGTGTAATGACTTAAATGGAACCGCTAAAAGTTTGAATTGTTTCCTTACCTGGGAAGAAAAGAAGAGCTTTGTTGTTTTCTGTTGACTTGCCAAGTTTATAGCCGAAAAGGTTTGTTGTGTCGTTCTTCGCATGAAGTGCTGACAAAAATGGCGATTCGGTTCCTCGAGGTAAGACGTAGTCTTCATGTAGCATTCTTTCTCGTGTTTACTTGAAACGTAGAATTTCTGCAAACAGTTGCTTTCAAATTTGTTTGTCATAAGTAAACTTCGTTTTTGGGCCAAATTTTTCTTGTTAGGAAACGCTGAGTTCACGAAACGGCCTCTTCTAGGCGAATAAACGGGAGTTGCAAACAATCCATCGACCACAAAACTCAACTACAGTAAATGGAAAAACGCCGTTTTGAATCCTTCGAAGTCTTTTCTTGCCTGAAAAAAAGTCAACCCTAGGATTTTGTCGACGTTTAAAAGATCTTTCTCAAGGAAAATTGGAAAAAAACCGAGTTCACACATTATCCACTCGCTAGGAGGTGAATATTGTTGAATAGTCCGAGATAGCGAACCAATCAGATTGCTTAAATCACCAAGATCACTGAGTGTGTATATACTAATCCACTTTAGTATATACTAAACAGTGGAAAACTACAGTGGATAGCGTTTTTCGCGCGCTCTGATTGGCTACTCAATCAGTGAATATCCTGCACTATTCACTGATTCACCTCCAGTTCCTCCGAGCGAGCGACGCCAAACTCGCGTAAGTTGCGAGCAAAATGCCTTCCCGGTTTGCTGCCGTAAACAAACAAAGAAATTTCACAACTAATCAAGCAAGCTGTTTCCGAAATACACGAAGAAGGTGACGAAGTTCGGATTGGAAGTTTTAACAGGTAAAGCTTTGTCTTTATGACACGAATTTATCGATAAAACCGGTGAAAAAGTTTTTTGTTTACAAATGCAAATTAAGTTTAAGTCTTGGTTACTTTATTTAGTTGAGTTGTTCATAGATAAGCTTAAAACTAAATTTAATAATCTTTTTTTATAGAATGATTTTAAATACAAAAAGAATTCACAACTCCTTTTGAAGAAATTTCCCCGCAAGAGCTAAACAAATGCCTTCAAAAGTTTTAATTGTCGGCAAGAAAAAGCGACGGCCGCGACCGCCCGGTCATTACGCGCCAAAATTGTTATCGTTGGCAACAGTATTTGAGTTAAAAATCATCATTTTTGTGCTCAATAATCTCACTGTTTTAGTATATACTAAAACAGTTATTCACCTCAGTGTCGGTGGCTAGTCGTGAACATTTACCTCACTGCTTCGCAGTTCGGTAAATAACTACGACTAGCCACCTCCACTTCGGTGCATAATTGTTATTTATTTTCGTGGTTTATTTGTCGTAGCGCATTTGTCATATGGGACCACTGTGACTTTTATTTTCGGTGCTCTTCTGTATCATGCTTTGTAAGTAGTATTATATGGACCGAATTATCCTTTTTTGAGGTAAACAAACGTGGATCTTGTCCATGGGATTCCATGTATTATGAGAAATGATCTTGCACTTTTAGCTGGGCGAAATGGTCATTAGTGCCACATGTGTTTGCCGACAGGAATCCGAACTCCTCATTGTTCCTTATTTCTAACTGTCTTTCTTATCCTAATAGGAGGAAAAGAATGGGAAGAAAACGAACAAGCTTAAATTGGCAAAAGAGCTTTCCCGCTGTGTAAACTACGTTTCCAGTGTTGGTTTCAAAGGATTTGAACACGCAAAGCAAAACTGTAAGTGGACAGAGAACAAAGCTTATATGATTGACACGTTCGGAGACAAATTAGGCATGTGCAGTAGTAGGGAACAAATCGAGCGCGGGCAATCTCGTTCCCAGAGGCCGCGATCCTTTTGTACAGCGACGGGGATCACTATACAAAAGTAACGGAGGCTCTGGGGGCGAGATTGGAGCGCGGTTCGAGACCTGCTATTTTATTACAAAACTTAGAAGAGATTGAATCAAATGGCTGTTCACACGTTCACATATGTTAGTTGATCCAAATCAAAAAAAATAATAAATGATAATTGAAAGTACGTCAAACCTAGCCTCCCCCGCCGACATTCTTAGGCGTGCCTGGGGAAGGAACGCGTGACGCACGCCTAAGAATGTCTACGGGGGAGGCTACGTCAAACCAGTCTCTATGCGAAACAAAGCAGTTCTAGTAAGTTGTACAAAAACAAACTCAGCAGAGTTAGTGTGAACCGAGAGCTTCTTAGGTACATAAGATGCAGAAGTGCGTGTTAAACGTGTATTGGTAGGTTTTGTACTTAATAAGCCCTTCAAAAAGGATGCGTTATAGTGACCGAAACCAAAATCCTGCGTTAAATGTGTTTGGGTGGGTTTTGTACTTTATACTCAGTAGCTGAAACTGAAAGATATTCTAGTTAAATAAAGAAACCCTTCGAAGATGATGCATTACAGCAAGAAAAGGAAACCAAAATCACAGACCTCTGGCAGAGTATTAACTTGCTTACGGGTACTCTGGGTATTGTTACAAAACTTCTTGGAGTGTTTAACTGATGGAGATGAAAAACAGTTAATAGGAAATATAGACTGGAATTAACTGCAGACACCGTCAAAAACACTGTTGTATAGAACACCAAATAACTGAAAGGACGCATAGCTTGAGATTGACACTTATCACTTTTTAACCCTTTAAGTCCCAATAGTGACCAAGATCAATTTTCTCCTAACAATATCCATACACTGTCAAGAGATAAGGTTATGAGAAGTAATAAAATGATCACCTGAGAGAAAATGCCCTGATCTATCATCAAATTCTCTCAACTAATTCCTTAAGGAACTGCATGGAGACCAGTTTGGAGAATTTGTATGTGGATACCGGGGCTTAAAGAGTTAAAAGTAATACAACTAGAAGTGGGAAGCAACCTAATTTTTATGCGTGGACTATTTCACTTTGAAAACAGACAAATTTCATCAGATGTCTTCTTTCGTGGAGTCAAAGATGGCGAGCCTGATGACAAATTCAGGAAGTGATTTTGTGGAATATAATAAGAGGCAGCTAAGCCGAATTTACCCAGCTGGTGGGAGAGTGGACTCCAGCAATTATAACCCTCAACAAGCTTGGAATGCGGGCTGTCAGATAGGTATGCGATGAACAGACGAAACTTATTCTTTTTGTATTTTTGTAGTCTGTAACCTCTGTATACACGTTTCCGCGTCTATTGTTATTCTCTACCAGTCTTATTTTTTCTTTATTTTTGTATTTTTTTAAATATTTCAACCGTTTATTCCACTTTTCGTTAACTTTTCTAGCCCCTGGTGAAGGTTATATTGAATTTTTCCCAACAGAAATATTGGGCAAATAGATTCATAGCTGTCTGACATCATTATAAAACACATTTGATGCCGGAAAACATGATTTTTTAGGTTAACTCCATGTATTCCGGCTTTTTCTGGAATACGGTCAAAGGTCATTTGAACGGGCCTTTAACTACATTGTTCATTTTTTTTTTTTTGTCGTTTTTCTGTTCTCCGTAGTTGCTCTTAATTACCAAACGGATTCGGAACCCATGCATCTGAACCAAGGCAAATTCAGAGTTAATGGACGCGCAGGATATATCTTGAAACCAAAACACCTCAGAGACCGTAAGTACTTTAAAAACATTAGTTTAGTGCAAATCAGTAAAATGCGCTGGAATTAAACATCATTCATCAGTGGGTGATTTGAATACTTTTGATTGACTCTGTAGCTTCATTCAACTTTAACCCTCATACAAAGACTGAGATTCCAGGAATAGAGAAGATAAAGATACATATAAAGGTAAACTCGTTATGACTCTCAACTGTTGGGCACTTACACAGCCTATTTTTTCGTAGTGAAGGAGCGCTCTTTATGCATGGCTTTAGTATTGTATATGTGTAAAATTTTGAAAAAAAAAGTGTCCTTTTTATGTGTTATTTTGTGTTTTTGCTTTTCGCCTCGATTATCTATAAACCTACTCGCGAGATAGCCTCCGAACTGCAGACGTATTTCCGGTCGTCGACCGCTTTTCTCCCCCCGAAAATATCTTGTTTTACTTTCCGGAGGGAGAGATCGACGACCGGAGATAAGGTCTGTAGTTCGCAGGCTACTCGCGGGAAGAAAACATCACTTTGTTCTAAAACATTTAATCACTTCTAGAAATGAAATTACTGGTTTTATTTTTGTTGTACATACCACGTACTGAGAAGCAAGTTGTAAAGCCGCAAGCCACAAGAAATGAGTGCGTACATAGGCTAAGACATAGCAGTTTGCTTCTTCTTTTAATTGCCTCTATCGTCTACATGTTGCAAGGCGCCTCTAAGGAAAATGATGGGTTTGCCCCAGTCTATACTTCACCAGGCTTTCTTCTCGATTCAGATATCTCGTATGTGTTTGAAAGGACAAATATGCGGCCTGTACCTTGAGGGTAATGGGTAGAGACAATTATAGTGGTTTTAAAGTGTATGTGTTGAAAACCCCAAATAAATAACGTAGTTTTACGAAATTAATGTCATTCACCTGAAATCGTTGAGTTTGATTGTTAGGATATCATTATTTTAGCATGACGTCAATTCCGTATGTGGAAAAAATTTTCTTTTTCATGAATAATGTGGCAGTTCTTCACTTTTGTGTGCGATCGTGTAGACATGCCGCGTGTTTCTCTATATTTCATCTTGAATATATTCACAGGTCATTTCTGGTCAACAACTTCCAAAGCCTGCGGGAACTAAAGGAGAGGCGAAGGTCAAAGGAGAAGTATGTAAAGAAGATATATAGAAGAATAAATAGTCTGTCTTTCTATGCCGCTATTCCATAGTGGTAGGGACTTTTACCATGTAGAAGGCATGTCGGCGTAATTTGAGCGGCAAGGAGAGACTTATCCCGTACCCACCGATTTCACACCTGTAACCGTGAGAGATTTGGATACTTTCTTCTTATTTCTTCTGCATACCATTTCGAACCATTGCTACCTATTTCGTCCTTCTCCATTCCTCACGCGAGCTTTTTTCTTCCGAATTTTCTTCTTTCTTTACTGCAAATTATCACTAACGGTTAATGTTTCTTTTTTTTTGACCCTGTTTATTCACGTAGGCTTTCGCTTTTTTCTCTCGGATTCGTTCGTCCTACCTACTCCACCACCCTCGCCCTTTTCCTTGCGTGATTGACGTTTTTCCTTGTTTTGCCTTTCAGGTTATTGATCCGTATGTTAAGGTGGATTTTCATGGTATACCAGCAGACACTGCCAGCTTTAAAACAAAAGTCGTCAAAGATAATGGTGAGCAGATTCAATTGATAGCTAATGGATACACCGTTCATAGAACTTGTCCTCTTTACTCTTACTCTCTAGGTGTACCTATTTCGCAAATGTAAGGTGTTCATTGTCTATTGTAATATACTATCACATTCTACGCTAGGATGTCTTAAGTTGATTTCCACTTGTTGCTGTTTTGTTTTTATGTAGGTTTTAACCCAATGTGGAAGGAAACATTTGAAAAAGAGCTTCTTATGCCAGAGCTGGCTATGATTAGGTTTGTGGTTTTTGACGAAGACGTTGGTTCTCGTGACGACTTCATTGGACAATTCTCGTTACCCTTCACCAGCGTTAGACCGGGTATGTTACTCTACCTATCCTTATTGTATTGCTTAAAATACTGAAGGTCTAATGGTATCAAGTCTTATGATATTAGGGAGCTTAAGCAACAACGACGGCGGCGGCTGCGAAAACGTCATTTAAAACTGAAGTGAATTCGCGCTACTTCAAACTTTATCGGGCTTATTCCACCTCATTCAATTCGTCAAATGTTGGCGAATTTTTCTGGAGATGAATTCTAAAGGACTGTATCAAAGTTCAGGAAAAACAAAGTCGTTGTCTTGTGTTCACGTCCTCCAGAAAACGTGGAATTAGGCAGTTTCACGTAGTGGTGGTGCAACGACGGCAAGCTGGAAAGTACAAAAAAGTGTGAGTTGTTTTTTTGCTAACATAAACCTGTTGCTATTTTTTTTTGCCGTTCTCGTTGCCGTCGCCGTCGTCGTTACTTAATTAAGTTCCCTATTGTCAGGATAATACGGTGGATTCAAAACCCCCTCTCCCCCTCTCCCCCTCCTTATTCGCGCCATGATTAAACATTGCTCCAACTTGTTAGTTGAATTAGTATAATTGCACTTGCCGGACCACCAGCGCCAAAACACCCTCTAGTAAAATCATTATAGCTGTAGTTAAGTAATTTTCT